TTTGACGAAAGCAAAGTTTGATGTAAAAATCAAACTTTATTTTCTATTCATTTCACAACATATGGTGGTGAATAGGTGAGACTTTTCAGGAAAACACTAAATTGTTTGGATGACCCCAAACTTTTGAACGGTTGTGTAAAAGTTTACATTTTTCGTGCATCAACATTCTGTTGCATGTTATTGAGTTTACTTTTTAACTATTTGGTGCTGGAAAAAATATAGAAAAAGTTATTCATATTGTTTGTCTTTTATTATTAATATTATTAAGATATTTAATCTATGGACATTTACATATCATTTTCTGACAGAAATCTTTCTCCTTTGTCCGTTTAATAAAGTTATTTCAGGATTTAAACATTTTCCCCATATTGCTGTTAACGAGCTTTTTTCTTCCAGCCCCTGAGCAAAGGCCGGATTTATAAATGTGGAAGATAACTTTCATTAGATTAGTTTTCCACCTAAATGTTTGGCTTTATTCACAAAATAAAAAATCCAACTTTCGTATTTAGTTTCCAGCAAGTTCCTGTGGCTCTAGACAAGAGTAACGGATTAATTTGAGCTTAAAACTGTAAAATATTCTGATAAATTAGACACAAAGCCTCATATTTAGCAAGCTATCTAGAAAAAGTTCCACCTTCAGGAACCAGATGGTACTCTAAAGTGGTTTTAAAAGAAATTACTTTTGGTTTAAGTGAAGCACTTTATGGGAATAAAGGCAAAACGAACAGATCTTAAGGGTTTGCAGGAGGGCGGAGAAATGGTTCCCAGTCCAGCCGAGCCAGCAGGACATCCTGTTGTAGCTTCCAAATACCATTTCCTAGAATAAAAGGAGAAGTAATCCCCGACTGAAGAGACACAGAGACGTTGATTGTCACCCTGGCACAAGGCCAAGGCCGGGGACAAAGGCTGCCCTCCCGCAGCGTCTCTGGAAGCCAGTCAGAAAGCTCCTGGAGGAAGTCATTAAAGCTGGAGAACCATGAAAAGTCTCACTTCCCAGAGCCGTCTGAAAGCAAACTGCTCCTCCAGCACTTTTCCTACGTTTTCCATTTGCACAGGAGCTTCAGGTAAACACCAAGCATGCACCCTTAACCCCCCTTTAAATGCACTAATCAAACCTTCAAAATGTTTAAACTACATGTCTTTTTTTTTTTTCCTGGTCCAGGTTTTATGTTTTCTGGACTTCCAGGACTACAGATCTTCATTATTATCGCCTCACTTTAGTTCAATCTGAAAA